TCTTATGTGGAGAAACAATGTCCGACGATGCGGGCATTGTTACCATACTGCGAGACGGAGCCATGTAGCTGGGCTATTCCGACGCGCGCAGTCTACGAGCGCTCTGCCAATTGGGAACGATGAGTTCATGTCGGCTATGCGAGATGGTGTGTTCGTGGAAGAGAAGGGTGATGATGTAGGCAAGAACCTTTTGGGTAAGTTGCAGTCGTATTCGCTGCAAGAATGCGCGACTGATGTACGACACAGGCATTGCCATCAGTGGGGGTGTCGATTCAATGGCACTCGCTGCGCTATACGCACAGTCTCGGCTAGAAGACCCCAGGCTGCCTATCCCCCATGGCTTCATTGTAGACCACAAAGTGAGACCGGAGAGTACAGAGGAAGCGAAATGGGTGTCGCAGCAACTACATACGAAGCGTGAGAATCTATGATACTTATCTGGCGGTCAAGTACTAACATTGTCAAGTTGGTATACCAATCACCATTCTTCCCCTTACATGGCCCGATGCCTTCGATCCCAACGACTCCAAGCGATTCGAGACGGAAGCGCGTACGCTCCGCTACCAAGCGCTAGGTCTAGCATGCAGAAGCATGAAGATTACACGCCTCATGCTCGCACATCACGCGGATGATCAGGCCGAGACTGTCATGATGAGGCTGGCGAACAATAGGCTGCGCTCCGGGCTTCAGGCAATGCAACGCAGAGAGTGGATACCAGAGTGCGAGGGCCTACATGGGGTGTACCACAGCGGAAAACAACAGAAGCCAGATCGCACCGGGCTGGTACCATTTAAAATCGAACAGGGGGGTGTGCAGATTCTGCGGCCTCTATTGACGTTTGAAAAGACGAGACTTATTGCGACGTGCGAAGAGAAGGGTGTAGCTTGGGCTGAAGATAAAACGAACCAGATCAAGACGCTTACGTCGCGCAACGCTATACGCCATATATATCAGAACCACAAACTTCCGGAGGCTTTGAGTGTCAAGTCGCTGGTCAATGTTTCGCAGCACATGCAAGAGCGCATCAAGTGGCACAGAGATCTCGCGGACAAACTCTTCGATAAATGCCCCATCAAACTCGACATACAGACAGGCTGTCTTATTGTCCGATTTCCCCCTTTCTCCGACCTCCTACCATACCCGATAAACACCAAAGCCGACAAGATCAAAGCGAAGAACACGGCATATTGCCTGATAGAACGCGTGGCAGGACTAGTCACACCCGCCACCAAAGCACCTCTTGGTGAACTCGCCGCATCCGCCTATCGCATCTATCCCGAACTCGAGGAGCTCGAAGAAAATGTAGTACCGGGTGAAGCGCTCCGAAAGAAGAACTTTTGCGTCTACAATGTGTGGTGGCGCTTCTGGGACAAGCCCTCGCCGTTTAACAAGCCCGAGCACCAAGAAGAAGGCATCAACCCAGACCTGACCCACCCGCGAGAATGGCTGCTTACCCGGCAACCGCTTGAAACGCTGGAAAGAGCAAATCCTGAATTGAACATAGTCTACCCGTCAAAAAGAACTCTGGGTAAACCATCGCAGAGAGAACTGTGGCGACTCTTCGATGGCCGCTACTGGATCTCTTTAACCAATCGACTTACGTACGACAACATCGTTCTGCGTGTCTTTAGCAAGGATGATTACTTACCCACTGCCCATGAGATCAAGAACCGAATGCTTGAACCTGCAGAAAACAGTCCCTATCGCTTCATCACGGCTGCTTTCGATCTGCTCAAACCAGCCGATCTGCGTTTCACGCTGCCTGCCGTATTCCGGATAGACCGCAACACAGGCGAGCAAAGATTACTGGGGTTCCCGACTCTCGACTTGCGGCCCCATGGCTTTGGACCACCGGCGAGTGAGTGCGAGTGGGAGGTTGCTTACAAAAAGATTGATTTCGGGTCCCGGTCTGCGTATGATATCATTAAGCCTGGGAAGTCGAGGAAGGATATCTATGATGAGGCGATGAAGGGCAGACCGGCGGAAAAGAAACGCATTATCAAGTCAAAGGAGGTGTTAAGGAAGGAGCGGAAGATGAGAAACGTCTTGAGGAACAGGCAGGAGCGTACAGAGGCGAGAATCAAAGGTTCCACGGGATATGACCATGCGGCATATGTTGGTGGAAAAGAGAGCAAAAGACAATGGAGCGCTGCTTTTCAGGACGTGGAGAGCAGTATGCAGGTAGACGGAAGAAAGTGAAGAGAGAAAAAATGTGCACACAGAGGGAAGAGGCAGCCTGTATGCTATGTCATTAGCAATTGATACCCCACAACTATCCGATAGAATTTATCACCGCCATGCGGTGACAAGTGCTCTAGTTGTGGTAAGAAGGGTCCCGCGAGGCTGAAGCGATGACGTTGTGGGAATAGACACGGAAAGTGCACCCAGCCAAATGAGGAAGGCAGATGTCGAGGCAGCCGTCTCCACCAACGCGCATCGCCTCCTTCCCCGCCCTGCAGCGGCAGTCGAGCGCCATTGCTTTGAGCTTATTTCGACCGCTATTATTGCGTGTTGCATGCGAGGTTGGTGTTGGTCCTATACTGTTGTTTCGCACGGTGCATGGTTGGGTTAGATCGGGTGTTGGATGTGATGCATTGGTAGTGAAGATGGTGGATGACCTCCCGCGGAGTGTTTTGTTGGCTCAATCACGGCGTGCGGGGAACATTGGCAGGACTATCTATGTGGCGCTGCTGAGACTATTTGTACTTTGTACGCCATGTAGCTGACATGTGGTGTGAGATTTAAGAGAATCACACCTCAACAAGTATAGCATGGCTTGCTCGTGGTAGCCGTAGTTCTACACGCTATCGACGTTGACTCGTGTGGTGGAGCCCGGCCGGGAGTCTTCGAATAGCCAACTCGCTCCGCGCTCCAGAAGAAGCCACGAAGCGAGAGTAGTCAGGGACGCCAGATCCACAGTTCATCGATGAGGCAAGGGCGACGATAAATTGTCAACAACAGGGCTATCAGCGGCTCAGAAATTCGATCAGAGATACGAAGATGGTGGCTTGTCAGATGTTGATTAACGTGTGGAGTGTAAATATGGCAAAGTTCTGGATGGCATTTAGCGTTTCAAAGGCATGAAACGGCGCGCAACATGACTTGGTGCACAAGGTTGCGAACAACCCAGGCACAAGGCCGCACGGGAACCCGTCAGCCTCTTGTCGCCAAATTTGCTGCACCCGAGTGCCTGTGGCGGTGAGCGAGACGCGGATTGGGTACGGTCATAATTACTGTCAGGGAGATCGTCTGCGGAGTTTTATCGAGTGCTCTGTGCGTACCGCGATGTTGGGCTACCACCGCTGAGATGACAGGAGGCATGTAGATCAAGCGGAATTTCTTTTGTGCGTCTCAGGTCTGGCAGCAGCAATGATGTGAATCGAGGTGATGGGGCAGCTGGAGAATGGGCGACTATTATTTGATACGTAACAGAGAGTTTTTGGAGTGCAAGCTGTGGCAGGCTAGTCCATGGTGCTGCCCGTGGTAGACGCCCCTTTCACGTGAGGTGAAGATTGAGCCGGCATGGCCCTAGTCACACTGGCCAGGTGTTTTCGGCTGATCTGAGATGAAGGCGACCATTCTTGAGAGTCAGTCCGGGTTTAGCAATTTTCACTTCACCCGTTGCTGTGGCAAGGCGGTGTCCAATGTGGAAGATCTATGCCAGGACTGGTCTGTTCAGGAGTGCAGGTGTTGACCACGCCAGATAGTAGATGCAGATGCCAGACCCAGAGATCTAACACCAGCCTCGACAAAGTCGGACTGGCAAGAAAAGAAAGTCAAGCGTGCGTGAACGCCATCAAGACTAAGATGGCGGCACGTAGTCTCTTCGGCAGCATTCGCCAGCACCAGCGCAAAGGTTAGCAATTTGGGCGCCAGGGTCTTGACGCCTTTTGTAAACGGGGATCACGCTTGGAGGGCGGTGGCGTGCCGCGATTCGTTACGTGCAGGCGCTAGAAGTGTCTAGCCTTGAATGCTCAGACAGGCTTGGCATGGCGCGAGAGTGCGAGTTGTGCAGAGTTCGCGACGGCGCAACCAAGACGGCGGAGGCGTGGCACAGAGGTGCGCGGTGTTGACGGAGGTGTTCACTGCAGCGGCCAGCCGTAGAGCCGCCTTTTGGGTGTGTGAGACTCGAGGGCGCTCGGTTGATGATGTGCATGGAGTGGGTTGGATGCAAGATACCGATGTCGATCACGGTTATACTCAGTGGTGCTCACCTGGGCACTACTACTGTGCCCGGAGTACTGATGGTGCGAACGCTGTATACTGGTGGATGTACAGCGGACACCTAGTGAAGATGGGTGTCGATGACAAAGACGAGGCAGGCTAGACGATAGCCATCTGCCCAAGACGGCGCCGGCTGTCGTGTTTGGAGCCGTCATCAGTCTCGTGAGCCCGCAAAGATAGCAACCTCTGCCAGACATACATGGCCGATCGTGGGCAAGTGTGAAGAGGGGCAGCTGGATCATGCGACCACGCCCAAGGGTCAGTCGACCTCTCTGCTTATCAGACGCGTGGGCGCCAACGTGGAGTCCGCCAGATGCCGGATCACGCACAGTAGATGCAACTCTGGCTTCGATAGTAAAGGTTGATGCCGGCATGCACAGCGGGCGTTTCAGAGGTCAGAGTGCATAACGTTGGTGAATGGTGCTATTCGGGCGGGCTAGCAGCAGGCGGGTCCGTCCAAGAGGACGTGCAGCCGCGAAAGCCAATTTCGTTGGTGGCATCCCTGCACCTGAACCCCTACCTAGCAACAGCCCTCACCTTAAAGTTCTCCCCTTCCTTGGGCGTCTGAGATTTTCTATCCTTCTTCCTCCTCACCGCCCTTCGCATCCTTAACAAGGTCGTGCCTGCTTGTCTGCCGCTGCACTTTGCGAGCGTCGTACTTTCCCTTTCCGTACATCTTGTAATACCCAAACCCGAGCTTGCCTCACAACACTCCTCATTTCGCACCCACAAACCCCACACACGCACGCTCTCCCAAACAAACTGCACCACACACCATGTCTGCCCCCGTCGACGCCCCCAAGCCCGTCGAGCACCCCGAGGTTGGAACTGTCGGCACCGTTGAGCCTGCGCCGGCACCCATTGTCGCCAGCGAGCCTGTTGTCGCCGCGCCCGTAGAGGAGGCGCCCAAGACGGAGGATGTCCCCAAGACCGAGGGCGAGGCCGCAGCGCCCGTAGAGGAGGCCAAGGAGGAGAAGGTCGTCGAGCCCATTTACAGCGGTGCGCTCGGCTACAAGGCGCCTGGCCTGAAGAAGTGAGTGCAACCGTATTTGACGATTTTCCGACCGTCTACTAACAACTTCCAGCGCCTTCCGCTTCGCCAAGAAGTACTTCTGGTTCGGCGAGGAGCCCGTTGCCGCCGACAACCTCAGGGAGTACCTCCGCGGCGAGAAGCCCGAGGTTGCCCACCCCGTTGTCGCCTGGTCCAGCCAGACCGGAAAGGGCCTCCTTTTCTTCGTCAAGCACGCCGACCAGAAGGAGCACCCCGCCGGTGTCCTCAACTTGGTATATTGAATTCTCCCCAGTTCAAAAACACAGTCTAACACCCCCAGGCCTATGCCACCGACCTCGCCAAGGACGGCGCCGTCGCTTTCGCGTTCAAGATCTCGGGCCACAAGCACACCTTCGAGGCCACCACCGCCGCCGAGCGTGACGGATGGTTCGTCGCCGTCGAGAAGGCCATCACCGAGGCCAAGGCGTCCAAGGACACCATCGAGTCGAGCGAGGGCTACAAGGAGAACAAGGAGAAGATTGGTACGTTTTTCCAAATCACCCACGTCGCGTCGCGTTCGCGATGGCACTAGTGGGCGATCTGTCTGTGTGCTGCAGTAGGCTAACATCCCGCAGGTAAGCCCACCGCGCTAGCGGGAGCTACATCCTCCGCCCCCAAGAAGAGCATGGACGCGACCCCCAAGCTCGCCGAGGGTGAGACCGCCGCTGCTGGCGAGCCCGTCGCTGCCCGCACTGGATCTTCTTCCAGCTCCTCTTCCGACGAGGAGAAGCGCAAGAAGGCCGCTAAGAGCAAGTCCCGCTCTGTCTCCCGCGGCAAGCGTGCCAGTCTCTTCGGCGGCCTGCTCGGAAAGAAGGACAAGGAGCCCAAGGAGGAGACCGATGCTGCTAAGACTGAGCCTGAGGTCAAGAAGGAGGAGCCCGCCGTTGTTCCTCACCTCGACGAGAGTAAGTTCATCCGCTCCATACTTGCATCATCTCGTACTAACATCTTCTAGTCCCCGCCACTGCTCCCGTCAACGCCAACGACGTTGTGAAGCCCGCTGAGGAGACCACCGCCGAGCCCGCCGTCCCTGTTGTCGCTGCTCCCGCTGAGGAGGTCAAGGTGGATGAGACCGCTGCTCCCGCCACCGCTGAGAAGCCCAAGCCCCAGAAGCGTGGTTCCATCTTCGGATCCTTCGTTGAGAAGCTCAAGTCTCCCACCACCGAGAAGAAGGAGCACGAGGCTGGTCTTGCCTCCACCCCCGTTAAGGAGAACGAGACTGCCGCTGAGGCTAAGCCCCTTGAGGAGGCCACGGTTGGCGCACCTGTCGTTGCTGAGCCCGTCGTCGTTGCCACCGAGCCAGCTAAGACCGAGGAGGCCAAGGTCTCTACTCCTTCCAAGGAGAAGGATCACTTCAAGTTCGGAAAGTTCTTCGGATCCAAGGACCGCGCCAAGTCGCCTGCTCGTGAGCCCAAGGTCGACGCGGCTGCTCCTCAGATCGCTGACACCAACGCGCCAGCCACCGCTGAGCCCGTCCAGGCCGTCGAGCCTGCTCCCATTGCTGAGACCAAGGTTGAGCCCACCGCTGAGACCGAGGCTCCCAAGCAAGACAAGCGCAAGTCGTTCTTCGGCAACCTCGGCCGCTCGCTCTCCAAGGCGACCGGTAACAAGGCGCCCAAGGACAAGAAGGACGCTGCCAGCCCTGCTCCCGTCGCCGAGGAGGAGGCCGTTGCCGCCCCCGCCGTTGAGGAGAAGAAGGAAGAGACCACCGCCCCTGTCGTAGCCGACATCCCCGCTGAGAGCAGTGTGGGCGATGCTTCGAAAAGCGCCAACCCGACTGTCGCTACAACTGCGTAAGGTTTGGTGGGAAGATGTCAGCCTTTGCAACGACAGCCACGACGGAATGACGGAAAAGCAAAGACTTCGTAAATCCCTTGTTTGACCGCCGGCCACTGATACCCCCAAAATCTGCTTTGGATCTTGAACCCGGATTCAGGCGTCACATTTGGATCAAGCTTCTTCACATATCCCCTCTCATATTTGATTTCTCCTTGCATCTGGACCAACTCATTGTCACTCTCTCTTGGTGGATCGCGACGGACTCTTTGTTTAGACTGATACCACTGTAACTGTTTCTCTCGTTTTGATACCACTGGCGGATCTCGGACGCATTTGTTTTATCGCGCAATACCCCGGATACCCTCTGCGTACTGCCTTGTTAGAAGGAGTACACAAGCGGCCACTAGGGCACATATCGACGTAATAATCTCTAATAAACTGTCGTTTGCTCTTACCTGAAGTGTTAGCTGTGTGTACTGTGATGTCTTGACTCAATGATAGCGATGGTTTGCGCGGAGGAGTATGCCGCGTGGATCGACCAAGTTGCATGACGCTTACTCACAACGGTCGTGTGCTGCCCGGATGAGTGTGAACTAGACACCAACCTGCAATAGACCGGCCCAGCCCTGGGTGCGCGCATGAAGACATGTGGCAAGGCTTGGGCAAGATTGTCGCATCATGAGCACGGCAAGAGCGGAAGGCGCACTAGGGGAACCATACAGCGCAGGTTGACTGCGCCTTCCTTGGTGCTATCGATTGATACTTCCATGTCTGGACCCGGCAGCCTCGTCTCTACCCAACACAGCTCGCCCTTATTCTCTTTCTGAGAAACACGATGCCCATGCCATCATCTTTCACTTGCGTTCACATTCATATCCCGCTCGTATTGCCGCTGCATTCCTACCTTCGCTCTGTGCATTGCTAGGCCATACATGTCATCACGTCACCATGGTAGGTGGATGCCGATCGCGTGTCTCAGCGCAAGTACCAGCAGTTCGCATGCTCTAACACACACACCATTAGGGTTGTTGCGCATCCCGCACGAGTGACGACACTCCGCCTGCTGTCCTCGCGCATTCGTCGTCGCGTAACATCACAGCGCCGTCGACGCGACCCAGCTCTATCCCCTCACCACGCGCCTCACATGCTTCGCAGGGCAATGCGCACCCACCGACGAGTCGCCCGGATGCCGACAACCGCCCCAACACGCCTCTCAAGCCCATATCTCCGACTCAGCGCTCGCGCCTGCCTAACACGCTCGCTTCACCCACTGCTAAGAGCAGCAGCCGCGTCCAACCTCTGACAGACTCTACGCATTCGACATGGACCCGATCGCGGTTAGAGAAGGAGCGCGAAGACTGGTGGGACACACAGGTCACGGGTTCAGAGCAGATATGGGGCGCCATACGTCTTGTAGCGCAGCATCTACAGGCTGGCCAGTTGCAAGAGGCGCAGACGATGCTCGATGTCAGTGACTGCACCTGCCCAACGGGCCTGCTTTGGCGAGGCGTTTACGATGCGACTGGCGTCCAATACAAAATCCCCGAGTGGGTGGTAGTAGAGCCAGAGGGCCTAGCAGAAGACGATGGTATGGACGACAAAGACTTGGCTGGAGATGCGAGCGCCAGTGCTGTGCAGGAGACGGTTGAAGATACCCTCGCCGACGACTCCGGCAGCCTTATACGTGTGAAAGTAAGGACGAGCCACGACCAGCGGGATCATCAGGTCGTCATGCGGATGAGAGACTCGGTCGCGACCATTATAGAGAAGCTGAAGAAGCAAGCAAAGGTATGTCGGACTTGATTGTCTCCATGCCTCTACTTTCCTGCATGTACATCGCTGACCACATATAGCTCGATCCTACCCTCATAGTTCGTCTCGCATACGGCGGACGTATCTATCAACCCAGCGAAACTCTCGAGTCGCACTCTTACTGGAACTTTGCTAATAACTACATTCTCACCGCGCTCGTCTTTCAGTAAACATCTGATCCTTTGCACATCCGCATCCGCACTCCTACCATGTCTCGAGGCTCCACGTTTGAATATGTGGGTCACATGGCTCACAAGGATTCCTAGGTCTCCAACCGCGCATCTCAACTTCCTGTTTGAGTCTATTAACAAAACGTTGGATGAAATGGGCATACCGAACCCGAATGAACCTACTTCGGAACATGACTCTGACGGTAGCGAGACCGACCCTCTTCTTCCTCGATCACGTCGGTCGGATAGTGGCAGCGATGACGGAACGTCTGCAGGTTGCGTCGCCTTTTTGTATGGGTTGGTTCGCTTATACTGGAACTTTCAGCGGTGGAACTACTCTTCGCTTCAATAGTCCATTTGGTGGCTTGTTTGATACCCCTCTCTCCCATGTCTTTTCGTTTATACTGGCGGTAGGCACCGAGGCCTTTGCTTGTACCCAGCATCATTTTCCATGCTTCGGCGTATCGCTATTGCGAGATTGTAATCATTTGGACAATAGAAGTCTGACTAGTGCTTGAAGTTCTCTTCAATACAAATATGCTGCATTCATTGACTTTATTCTCTTGACGATTCAGGTTGACAGGAGCTATGAGTGAAGCCGTGTTGAAGTTGTACAACGTTAATTGTGTAGTCCGCATGGCTTAACGGCGACCTACCGGTGATTCTTCCCGTACAAGTCTCAATAGCAGGCCGTGTCGGATAACGAAGATGCATTTATCGTCTTCTCCACGTGTAACATCCTTCGCACGCGAAGCTTCGTGGGTATCTCCGGGTGGTGCTTAACCCCGAATCAGATGTCATCACATCCACATAACAAAGTGATGATCAACACCATTACAAGAAGCGGTCAAGTACGTCCTCCGCTCCTAGCCTTCCCGAGGTCAAACGTTTGTTATCTGCCGTCTAGCTTCCCGCATCCTCCATCGACACCATGATGGTTGTGGTGAACCCTGTGACATCATCGTTTTTCAACCTCGGAAGCTCATCGCCCGCCATGACGACGAACTACCCTCTTTTTGAGTACCATAAAAACTCACTAAGAGCGAACCAGATACTCCAATTCACAGCACACATAAAGCCAACATGTTCGCCTCATCTGCGTCGCGATCTTTACGCACAACTTCCACAGACCGACTTTCACAAATAACCAGACAAGTCCTCCCGCAACAGATCAGAATGGCGCACAACGGCACAACCCACACGCTCAACACGGGCGCCAAGATTCCTGCCATTGGCTTTGGAACTTGGCAGGACAAGGAAGCCCAGGAACCGTAAGCTTTTGTCTTGTCGTTAAGAAGCGTGTCGTTTTACTAATGCAGAAGATAGAGCTGTTACCATGGCCCTCAAAGCGGGCTACCGCCACATCGACACAGCACGCATCTACGGGACTGAGCCCGCAGTCGGCAACGCCATCAAAAAGTCCGGCGTCCCCCGTTCCGAGCTCTTTATAACCAGCAAGCTCTGGAACAACTCGCACCACCCCGACGACGTCGAAGCCGCACTCGACGCATCCCTCAAGGACCTCGGAACCGACTACCTCGACCTCTACCTCATGCACTGGCCCTCGCCCTTCGCCCGGGGCTCAGAAATGTTCCCCAAAGACTCCGCCGGCAAAGTCAAAGTGGGCGACAGCGACTACGTCGACACCTACAAAGCCATGGAAAAGTGCTTCAAAAGCGGCAAAGCCCGCGCAATTGGCGTGTCAAACTTCAGTAAAGCGGAGTTGGAGCGCTTGATCAAGGAGACTTCTGTTGTGCCTGCTGCTCACCAGATCGAATGTCACCCTTACCTCCAGCAAAACGACTTCACGGAGTTCCACAAGCAACAGGGTATCCATGTGACGCAGTACTCGCCGTTCGGCAATCAGAATGAGATCTACGATTCCGGGAAGAACATGAACAAACTCATGGACGACCCTGTGCTTGTGGAGATTGGCAAGAAGCATGGGAAAACTGGTGCGCAGGTTGCGTTGGCGTGGGGTATTGCCAAGGGCCATTCTGTTATTCCCAAGAGTAAGACTGAGTCGAGGATCAAGGCGAATCTGGAGGGTGACTTTGCCCTGCCTAAGGAGGATGTAGAGAAGATTACTGGTATTGATAAGAAGATGCGGTTCAATGATCCTTCGGGTAACTTTGGATGGAACTTTTACACGGATTTGGATGGTAAGAAGAAATGAGGCAGGGAGTAGTGTATTATAACGCTATTGAAGTAACCGACTCAAAATTATATAACTATATGCATGACATGGACAAATGCTCAAAACGCCCGACGTACACCCATTCCCTAACTATAACTTCCCGCAGCCCAACTCTTCCTACTCTCCCTGCGATCCTCACCCTCGAAGAATATAGCAACCTTGTTCGGCTCCCCCTTCTCCCCCTCATGATAATTATACTGGATCTTCTTAAACCGTAGCGCCCTCGCCTCCTTGATCTCATCCCCACTCATGACCATCGCTGTATCACCTCCAATACGACTCACAACAGGTTTCAAGAGCATGGCCATACTAAAGAAACTCTCGTCGCGGACAATCGTGCGGTTGGCGAAGAGACCCAGCGTGCAGAGAGCGAGGAATTGGATGAAGCAGATCCCGCCTAGGATGCTGAAGATGTAGGACCAGTCTACGTCGAGTTGCTGGCCTGGCAGAGGAACAATTTGATCTGTGAGATTATATCGGATGCCGTGGTTGTCAAAGGCGGCTACAGCGCCGATTGTGAAACGCATCAGCATTTCTTCGACTTCTTGTTCCGTCACATCGTGATCGGGCGACCATTTGGAACCTTGACCGTAGTATCTAGTCTGTCGGTCTAAGAGGTCCCAAGGAATACCCGTCCAGGCGATTGTACCAGCGGCTATACGGGCAAACTCGTCGCTACCGTATAGGGCTGCCCTGTCGGCGTCTGTGTATGGTTTTATGTCTGTGCTGTCGGCACGGGTCACTTCTCCGAGGGTGTTGTTGCAGACGAACAGGGACGTGCTGCGTATGTTGCCGAATGGTTGCTGCACGACGGTGAAGTTTGTGCATCTTGGGCCGCAGTGTGCTTCCACGGATCCAACCCAAATGGTTTCACCCCTGACGTTTTCGGGCATGTAGTACGGGAGATAGTCCTCCGTTCCACGCTCTCTTGCCAAGAGGTAATAAATGTTGTCGTTTCCATCATAGACAGTGTCGTTCAGTAGCTCGAGGTGGTTGCATGTTGCCTTCACAGTGACATTGCGGGAGCTGGGGCGTGTCGGCCAGCGGTTGAGAAAGCGGTAGTACCAGGCGCCATCGCCTTTGTAAATTGGTGCAGCTGCCAAAACGGATAGATCAGATTCGGCATGTTCTATTTCCCCAAGAGTGTAGTTGGGGTAGCTTGCGGCCTCCATGCCAAACGACCAGGCCGCCATTAGAGTTGTGTCATTCATCAGTCGAGGCTCTTCGTCGGCGTTGTTGATAACTGGATTGGTGTCAATGTACCAGGCGTTCAAGTCGGCTACTGTTACGTTTCCATTGGCCAGAAGGGGGAGTTCCGAAGTCACCATTGGCCAGAACAAACTCAGTAATGCGACCAGAACCTGAGATCCGAGGTTGATAGCAAGCCATACTAGACACGCAAGCCACATCCACTTCGTCCCATCTGCTCTGATGTCTTTGAACCACCGGAACTTGCGCAGCCATTTCTTGCCTCGTATTCCAGGCCAGGATATGATCATAAGCTTAGTAACACTAGCCAGCGATTCAAGGTGTAGAATGAGATCGAATACCTCCAGGCTGATGTATCGCTTCGTAAGGAAAGACCATCGGATCACCGATGCGTAGTGCTTTAAAGAGGCCAGTAAGTTCAGACCCAGACATAGTGAAAGAGCGATTGTAAGCGAATTGAAGATCTTAACATCCATCCTGGAAAGCGCAACGGGCTGGCGAAATCCTTCCCACGCTCTCAGTGTGACGCACATCAATGCGCTGAAGAACAATGTTCCGAGTAGCCTCAACGCAGCGTTTAGCATGAGGGTCTTTCGTGCTTCACGATGATCGAAGCGCTTAATGGGAGTGCGTTGGTTGTGATGATGAGTCCCGTCCTCAACGTCAAAGGTGGAACTGGGGCTGCCTATGCTGGCGAAAAATCCGCCCTTGGACTCCATAATCTCCGGTGACTGGACCATGGAGGGTGTGTTGAATGGTGAGTTGGATGGCGAGCATGATATATCGTCAACATGCTGCATCGCCACATCGCCGCTGTCGTAGCCTGGAGATTCGGCATTGCTCATCAATGGGGCGTGGTCGGAGTGTCCTCCACTCACGGTGCGATTCCGATCCATGGTGTTCATTATCTGGTCCTGGGCGACTGGATGCTGTGTTTGTCCTGCTCCTCAATCTACAGTTGCGGAGATGAGTTTGCGTGGCTTGAGCTCTCGCGCGCCGTCAGACGGCAGGCTGCAGGTATTTTAGGCGAAGATAGCAAGCTGAGTAGAGAGCGGGGCGGCACGCGCATTCCTTAGCGATGTCGAAGATACCGGGCCTGTGGTTGTATTTCCCGGGTATACGGATATGTGAGAGGGATTTCCACAATAGTACTACCACAAGAAGTCGCAAGAGGGGTAATATAGAGTAGAGGAAGTGGGGGATTTCCATGAGCGCGCACATCGCGCTCTTATCGCTGTTTTTCGGACGGGTTTCCGCGAGACGACCATATTGGGGGCTGAAAGTTTGGGGGCCACAGCAGCCGCATCTGCAAGCCTTTGGCGTTGCACAACGCGGGCGGAGTGACTGTAAATCCAGTACAGAGGCTGATAGAGGGACGATAGAAAGTACCAAAGCGCAAGAATAGAAACCAAAAAGCACATCAACGACTCACCATGCGCCTATCGTGAAGCCTGGGTTCGGACAAGTACATCAGCCCACGCCTCTGCATCTTTGGTGGGCTTGATTTTCCCAAACTGGAGGCTGAGTCTCGCGCTAGACCTACGAGTGTACTCATGTAGCGATCGGTAGTCCTATTGTTAGCTAGATAGGCTGTTGAATGCAAGCGAAGTATCGAAGCGTTTCTGGTCCAGTAGTATCCAAGTGTTTGTACGCCACGAACAACAAGTATGGGGGGCCGGAACGCTCATTCGCCTAAGATGCAGCTGCGGGAGGGTAGAAGCGCAAGGCTCGGAGCTTGTGGTATGTCGCAAAATGCAGCTGACTTCTGCCATGCAGTTGTGGAAGTTCTTCGAGGCCGGAGATAAGCTTAGGCCGATGTCAACGTCGTTGTGGTTGTTGCTGTTGTAAGCGTCGCGGAGTGGGTACCCACGTAACCGGCCGCGGTTGCCAAACTGTCAGCTCGTACTTTTGCAGGCACCCACCAATCCTCGGAGCTGTAGGAGACATCTTGATGGTCCTGTGCTACTCATGCGACGTACCCGTCGTCGCAAGAGCAGGGGGATGGTTACTCTGACGATGATGCCCGCGCGCGAGAGCGACTGCCGATTAGCCTCAAATAATCCCCACCTAACGCTAGATGACAAATGACTGTGGAGAAGGCACGAAGGGCGTGATGTCAACCAGTCTCAAAGCTTCATATCTATCGCGTCTATCTCAATCTTGTTGCTAACTAACAATCATTGAGATCAGAACAAATGTCGTCGTCAAAGGTCATTCTATACGATCTCCCCAGTCGGGGTGGTTCCTCATGGTCGTTGAACCCATGGAAGAGTGAGTTCATTCACACCACAAATGCTATCCTAGTTCCTCTGACAGCATCGCAGCTCGCATGGTGCTGAATTACAAGAAGATCGACTACACGACTGAATGGGTAGAATACCCAGACCTGGCCCCAAAGTTCAAAGCCCTCGGCATCCCGCCGACCCCCAAGGATGCGCCAGGCTATTTCGCAGAGTACACCAGTCCCGCTATCAAGCATGCAAACGGCACCTATCAGATGGATTCTTGGCCCATTGCCTACGAACTTGAGAAGCAACACCCGACTCCGTCTTTGCATCTCGATGACCCCATCGTTGTGCAGGTCAGGGACCATATTGCCAAGATAGCTGGCCCATTGAGACCACTACTCATTCCTCAGGTACCAGTTGTGCTGCTGAACAAGCCGAGTGCGGATTACTTCAATGAGACGAGAGAGAAGATGTTCGGGAAGCCGCTCGAACAAGTAGAAAAGGACGCCAATGCAGACGAGTGTTGGAAGGCGGCTAAGGCACCGGCGAAGGAGGCGGGCGATCTACTGAGGAAAAACGGTGGACCTTACTTCATGGGTCAGACTGGTAAGTATCAATGCGCTGGCTGGATGATGTCGACTTCATGTTCTAACTTATGAACAGTTTCGTATGCCGACTTCATCTTTGTGTCGATGCTACACTTCGTCAAGTGCATAAGCGACGAAAAGTTCAAGAAGCTTCTGGCTCTTGATGACGCCTTCCCCAAGGTTTACGAGGCATGTAAACAATGGCTGGAGAAGGAGGACTAGTCCGTTCTCAGCAAGCGCCAGTGCCTAAACCGATCGATCAACATCGGGACTGCTCTTTCTGTTATCTAGGTATCGTGCGTTCAGATGAATAAGATTTCAGAATCAACAATTATGAAGTTTCCTGCACTGCATGCGATGCGCCACACTACCCCTCTCTTGCGCCCGCCAGACTGCTTGACCAATCTGACTGTGCAGCATTAGCGCGGCCACGCTTCTTGCCTTGCGCCCGATGGGCAGTGTTGCCTAGCAGCTGATAAGTTCAGCTTTGAAGTCATAATGCCGCCAGATCTTACACGCACAGCGATAACGTCGCACCTCGACTCATAAATTCTACACTCTTGACAGGAGCAGTTCGCGCGGCTGTAGGAACATCGTCTTCTCCGGTCGGACGACGCTCGAGGTCGTTGCACTAATTCCAAACGTGCCTTACACACCCAACATGAGCGCGACAACCCCATCACCGAGGGCTGACAAAGCGCATGAAACCTCGCGCAGTTCTGATGACGGATTTGAAATAGTTGAGCACGACCTCGATGTTCTGAGCATCCCCGAATCACAAGATGGCACTCCCGCACCGACTTTAGCGGTGACAGAGGAAACAGAGCGCAGCGGAGGAATGAACGAATCCAGGGAAAGCCGACCTTGGTTATGGGACTACGATGAGTTCCACGATGCGATCAAAGGCGGAGACTTAGATGGCGTGAAGAAGATGCTGGACGACGGTGCAAATGTCGAACGTGGAACAGACGAGGGAGAATCACCATTAATTCTCGCCATTTGGAAGCAACACATTGCCATTATTACGCTATTGCTGGAAAGAGGCGCGGATGTGACCCGCTCGTTCGATGGCTCTCCTCCGATCCACTACGCCGTCATGCAAAAGGATCGAGCACCACAGATCATCCAGCTTCTTCTCGACTACGGCGCCGGCTTGGAAGCAGTTGGCACAGATGATGTCAACGCGTTACATTTCGCTGCATGTAACGGCATGATATATGGGGCTGACTTCCTGATCGGTAAGGGAGTAGAGGTCAGCAAGACCTGCGCGGATGAGAGGACGCCTTTGATACTGGCTGCAAGGCATGGACATATGGCAATTGTCAAATTACTTCTCGCCAAAGGAGCAGATTTGCACGAAAGAAGTGAAAATGGTTGCACCGTCCTGATGTGGGCGGCGGAGTACGGACAGCATGAAGTCGTTCGTTACTTGTTGGAGGCAGGCGCGAGGGTGGACGACCGTAGTGTGGAGGGTCTCAGTAAGTTGATGTAGCTTTCGCGACTTGTGGAACAGCAACTGATATCAGCAGCCGCCCTATCACTCGCCAGCATGAATGGCCGATTGGAAGCCGTACAACTACTGATCGAGAGCGGCGCAGACATCAATGCACTCAGTCTGGATCCAGAATCCTTTACCCCGGCAATGTTTGCTGCATTGCAAGGACATGCAGAAGTGCTCCAGGTCCTTCTGTCACACGGGGCAGATTACAAACCAGATTTTGAAGTCGACTGGGCTGATGGTGACAAGATCCTCGATATGACCATGACAAAAGGCCACCTTGCTGCTGCCAAGATCCTATTAGAAGCCATCGGTGGACCCGACTACCCAAAGGATAGCATCGCACTCCAAATGGCCACTGCGCAATCTAGGGCAGAACTGGTACCAGTGATGAAGGCCATCCCTCTCATGTACAAACACATCAACTCCAATTCAACCGCCGATGAGAACTTAGGTTGGGTCGAGTGGGTCTTAGATCAAGGCGGAGCGCTCGTCAGATCGAGAGCCATGTGCAACATGCTGTTTGCTGCCATAGTCGAAAAGGATGTCGGTGTGACTGCAGAACTACTCAGACTAGGAGCCAATCCAAACGTCATCGGATTCATGGGTTACACACCACTCCACATCGCAGTCGGCAAGCAAATTTGCAGCCTAGCAATAGTCGAACTACTTCTCGAGGCAGGCGCTGATCCGGCTAAGCTCACGCACAATCCCACCACACCCACGCCACTACATTTTGCAATATTGGATTTCGAAACCAGCCGTCCAGAGAAAATGGCTATCTTCCATGTCTTGCTAGCGACTGGGCGATGCAAGGTCATGAAAGGACCAGACGCTCAATCTAGTGCCTTTTTGAGTGTAGTAAGCGCGTTGGATGGTGGGAGTGCCGATATTGCCAAAAGCCTGGCGTCCTGGATGCTGGATTTCATATCTGATGTGAACGACGACAAGGCCGACGATGGGTCTACTCCGATGCACGTCGCTGTCAAATACAACCAAAAAGTGCTCATTGACGCACTAAGACGAGAAGGCGCCAACATCAACGCGCAGAGCAACGACGGCATGTCACCTCTTCTTCTGGCCTGCGGCATGGACGTGGAGCTGGTCAACTTTCTGGTTACACGCTGCGCAGACGTGTCTGCTGTCAACAAGAAGGGACAGGGAGCTTTGCAAATTGCCGCTGCGTGTGGGCAAGTCAAAGTGCTCAGGTTTCTCCTTGATCTGGATCTAGCCGAAGAGGAGCCACTGAACATCGACGCTGTAGACGATGCAGGTCACACCCCTTTGATCGCTGCCATAGTGGAGGGTCATGAAAGTGCAGCTCTTTTCTTACTGGTACGAGGTGCCTCTGTCCAACAACGTACGACCGACAAAGGACGACTTGCCTTGCATTACGCAGCCCAGGCTAGTATGAGCCGTGTTGTGGA